CTTTCTGAGACACCTTTACGGTCCAGTCCAAGTTGTCCGTTTGAGAATGGCGTGTGAGGTCCAGCAGAAGTTTGACGTTTGATGAGCGAAGATCGCCAAAGTCTCATCCCTTCGTCACGCCGACTGCGCGTGCACGTCCGACTGCGCTTGCTTTGGAGGTTGGCTGTGGACACCATGTTATCGTTGCTCATGGATGAGGCACGGATAAAGCGTCAGGCTGAAATCGGACACAAGAGCATTCTTACTAGCAAAGGGCATCGCTACTAGGGGCTCCTGGCATCGCTACTAGCAAGGACGCTACTAGTAGCAAGTGCATCGCTTCTAATAACAAGTGCCTTACTAGTAGTAACCAGAAGCTACTAGGAACAAGTGCCACGCTAGTAGTAACAGGTGCCTTACTAGTAGTAACAAAGAAGCTATTAGAATTAAGTTTAAAGTAAATTAATAGCTTCCTTGTTACTACTAGTAAGGCACTTGTTACTACTAGCGTGGCACTGAGAATGCCGAAGTCACGAGGCCAGAAAGCCCTTCGACCTGCGGGACGATTCTTTGATTCGCGTGATTCTCGCGAAGGCCGATACGAAGGAACCTAGCAGTGGGCAAGTATAGCGATGGCCTCCAACCTGCCTCCTTAAAGAGCATCTTGCACAAAAACGTCAGTTTTTTGGAGGGCCTTTTTAAAAACTGCCGGTACTTAAAAATAGATAGTAGATAACTACATGATATTGTAGTGTTTGGTGAATTGCTTTTGATTGCTCACCTGTACATAGGCACTTTTGACTTCCACAAGTAGTTTCTGAGAAGCCAAGTTGTCCCACCAGAAAAACTGATGCCTTTTTGCGGGCAAACATCCTCTTGAATCAAACATCCTGGTGAATCTTTTCAGTCTTGAATCAAAACACATCTTTTAAAGGTCTTATTGGGGGTCAAATTTCCGAAGTAGGTCTACTTTTCCTTCCCCCTTCTGTGGGCATCTCTCCTCACGCGTCGTCTGATTATACCAACCTTCTCAGCACACCTCGTTTAGTTCAACCGAAGGTAGAGATGGCCCGAGTAGAGATGGCGCTAGGTGACCTCTGAGCCACCCGTACACTATTTGCTGTTGAACCTGCACCACTCTGTGACCGACGGCCGATCTTTGGCCGTTTTGAGGCGCAGAAGGACGTTTTACTGAAAAACATCCACAACGCTTGTTCCTAGCTTTCTTGTTACTACTAGTAAGGCACTTGTTACTAGAAGCGATGCACTTGTTTCTACTAGCTTCTTGTTCCTAGTAAGGCCAGGAGCCCCTAGTAGCTTCTTGTTTCGCAATTAGAATCCAAACAAGCAGAAATCGACTTGGCCTATTTACGGTTACGAACCAGACTCGGAGGCATGAGCTCACGACTGTCTACAATCAGAACTGTTTGAAGCAGGCCGTTTGTGTGCTGCGCAATGCTGTGCATGAACATGAAAGCGTTTCTGTTTCGCTCCGGTAGATGGTTCGGTGTTCGGTGACGGCATGTGTTTGGAAGTTGTGCCCAAAAGATCGGAAAGAGAGAACTCAGCACGAAGCAAAGGGCATCGCTACGAACGGAGCAAGAACGCTACGAACGGGGCTCCTGGCCTTATTACTACTAGTAACAAAGCCAAACAAAGAAACCAAGGAACAAGAGAACCAGCACAGCACAGAAGACCACTTGATGGTAGCTACATCCAGGGGGCGGGAAACTGAATGCATAATGTTGTTGATGGTGTTTGCTACCAGCCCGGGTTGTGGAAAAACTGTGTTCAGCCGGGACAACATTAAACAAGGTCGTTTGGCGGTGGTTGTGTTTATTGTTGTTTTCGCATTGTTTCTCTGGGGCTCCATGTTTCAGTTTCGATCACATAAATCCACGGTTTCTTGGGGGCAGCGCTGCCTTGGGTCCTGTTTTTTCTTGCTTCCGTAGGACCGTCGGCCACTCTGCACAACTTGTGTTTGAGCACTTGAATTTGTTTGCTCCCGCATTCTTGGAGCCCTTCTCCGCACCTTTTAATGCTAGCCCGCCAGTTCTGTTTTCTTAGGTTTCGAGCATCCCTTGCACCAACATGTTCCACAATGTGCGTAAATTCTCAGCCTTCCATGTCCTTCTTTGCCTAGTGCGACCGCAAGAAGCGTCAAACCCCCACACTCTTTATGCTTTGCACCTTAGCTTCGTGCAACCTGAGAAGCCTCTTTTTTCACATCCCCAAGGTCGGAAGGTTTGAAACCCATTTTTACGGAAAAGAAGTGATTCATTTGGTCCATCGATGAGGGATCAAGAGGGCTAGATCTCTTCAGGATAGACAAAGACGAGACTAGGCCTCTTCATAAAGAGGGCTCGCAAGGACAAAGTCTTTTCGTGAGGATTGTTGACGTTGAGGAATGACAACATTTAAAATGGACGGTTAGGAAGCTTGAGAAAGTGTGCGGGATCGGTTTTTACAATGTTGTTCATGTTCAGATGATTTCGGATTGGTTTTGGTGTTGTTTGGTGAAATGTCCAATGTCTCCCGAGAAGTGGGGTTGGAGAAGAAATGGGAAATGGAATTGGAGACATTTGTTGAATTCATTAGCTGATAAACCTTGTGCTAGTGACTGAAATGAGTGAAGACAGGGAAGAGAGGCGATCAGTATCACAATATTTTTGGGCAGGAAAACGATGTTACTAAGTGGCAGGCTTCCACTTTTGGAAGTGGGCCAGAAGGTCTTCTGCAGGGTGGTTAGTATTGCAGGAACAACGGTAATCAATTTTGTGTTGATTGCTCCACCCACCCCACCACCAACTTCATTCAAGATATGATTGATGACAACGCGATGTTCTCGAGGATGGCTTAAAGGCATGCCTGCAGCTTCCCACCTCTCTCACACATCCACCTTCAGCAGTGCCGGCGAGTCGGTTTCTTTTTGAGCACTCTAGTCGGTCTCGTGTTTACTACAGAGTTCCTGAAAAACAGACCACCGGAACCGAATTCTAGTAGCGTCCGATCGCTACTAGTAGCGATGCCAGGAGCTACTAATAGCTTCTTTGCTCCTAGTAATAGCGATGCCCTTTGCTCCTAGTAGCCTCTTGTTCCTAGTGCTTCTTGTTACTAGTAGCGATGCACTTATTCTTGCGATAGATTTTCCGGCTGCGCTGTATACATTTTGCTGGCTGTGTTTTGTGCATGTGTGTGTGCGTGTGTGTTGTACACATATATGTTGAGATAATGTTTGTTGATTTGACAAAGCGCTAGTAGTAACAAGAAAGCTAGTAGTAACAAGTGCATCGCTACTAGTAACAAGTGCCTTACTAGTAGTAACAAGAAAGCTAGTAGCTAGGTTGGAGGCCTCCTTGACCTTGGTTTACTTTCAGCCCTTGAGGCTGTGCAACTACCGGCTTTGTCGATGCAGTACCAAGACTACGCCTATTGGCAACGGCAATGGATGGCCCAGGCGGAAAGCAGCTTTGGGATGAGAGAAACAAGAGCTTAACAAAAGAATCTGCTTGGGCCCCTTTAAATACAATATGCCTTTTTCTATATTGTGCAGCTCAAATAATGCCCATGACTTTAGCTGCACCTTGGCGGCATGTTTCCAGGGGCGTTTGGACAAGGAGTTGGCTTATTGGCGCGTCCAGCTGCAAAGCCTCCCAGCCCTACAGGCAAGAGGGTATTGAGCGATCTTCACCAAATAAAGAGAGAGAGAGACATGATGCATGTTGGCAGCCGCTTTCCATGGACAATCAAGGATGAGATGATTTTTTTACCCGCTCCTTTCTCCTTTGTTGGAAATGGTTGTCTTTCTTTTAATTACGATGACCTCCAACCTACTAGCGATGGCCTCCAACCTAATATATATAATATATATATATAGTGCATCGCTACTAGTAACAAGTGCCTTACTAGTAGTAACAAGAAGCTATTAGGAACAAGTGCCACGCTACTAGTAACAAGTGCATCGTTACTAGTAACAAGAAGCTAGTAGAAACAAGTGTTTCGTGTTACTTTTTCATTTTATTCTGGATGAGGTGCCCACAGACTTTCCACGACCACCAACGCTTCCTCTCGAGGGTGGCCAGGCGGGAAGGTCAAAGGAGCGTTGATCGACATGTTTGCCTTACAAGAAGCTAGTAGTAACAAGTGCATCGCTACTAGTAACAGGTGCCTTACTAGTAGTCACAAGAAGCTAGTAGTAACAAGGAACAATCTTTCGATTTCGAAATTCGACCACGTTTGAGTTGGAGGCCGGCCTTCAGTGGCAGGGTTGAAGGTGCTCACATCATGGAAAACTGCAAGCGTTGTTGAAACCAATACCGGCCAGACGAAAAACATGTTGCGCAAATAGCAACATGCGCAAATATGTGTTGAAACCTTCCCGTGTTTTGAAGCAGTGCTTTGGGTTTGTAAGGGGGCTGGAGTAGAGGTGACAAAGGACCCGAGTTGATGCAATATATTGGTTTGCCAAACCAATGAGTTGCAATTTGTGCTTTTGTGGTGCCGATAAGTTGCAATGCCTAACATCGTGGTACCAAAGGTCCAGGCATTCACAATCAACATAGGAGGATAGAATGCAATCGGTTTTAGAGTTTCGTCCAGCGGTGCAAATTCGCCTTCCAAGACACATCAAGGTTCTTTGGACATGCTCGCCCAAAAAACAAGAACCAACTCAAGTGGTCAACCCCCCTGAAGTTCTTCAGAAATCTTCAGAAAGAGTGGAACTGAGGAACTGACTCAATAGGCGATACTTCCTGGTGCCAGATGTTTTAACCCATGTTCATTGCAAACGTGATTAGCGTGGAGAGAGGGGCAAGAGTCCTGCAAGAGCTTGCATGCTTCAAGAATCTACTAGTAACAGGTGCATCGCTACTAGGAACAAGAACGCTACTAGGGGCTCCTGGCCTTACTACTAGGAGCAATGTTCGCTATTAGTAACAGGTGCATGCTGCATGCTTTCTTTCTCTGTATTTTCAGATCGGAGAACGGATCCGCATCGTACGGAGTCGTCACGGAGTCGTCAGGTGTGTCTTCAGTTTCCAGCTGCTTTGGCCAATCGCCTTCGGAGCTTGGCTCGGGCCAAGGGTGCCTCTAGCGTGCTTGTGAATGAATGAGAATGAAGAAAGGAGAGACCGAAATCAAAGAAGGAAAAAAAGAACGTCGCAAAAAGAGAACTTGTGTTAAACATGTGTCAAAAAGTGCAAGATTTTGTCGCCACATGCAAGGCGCCACTCTCTTCACGGTGCTTCTAGGTTCGTGGCCTGAGACGATAGATTTCCTTCCGTTGCTTGCTACTAGTGCCTTGCTCCTAGTAGCTTCTTGTTACTAGCGATAGCCGCCATCCTTGTTCCTAGTATTTCCTAGTAGTAAGGCCAGGAGCTACTAGTAGCGTCCTTGCTCCTAGTAGCGATGCCCTTTGTTCCCAGTGGCTTCTTGTTACGGATGGCCGTGGTGGCCGTGAGGTCTTTTCGCGGTAGTTTTGGGACGCTATGGTGGCGCTTTAGACTTGGCCATTGCCTCTCCCGTGGCCAATCGTCATGGGTCATGGGCTTATCACGCGAACGGCTTGAGGAACAAACTGAGATAGAGACTGAAGGAGACAGAACCGAAAGAAATTGAAAGAGCTTTTTGCACGGGCGCGCAGCTCCACACTGTCCTATTATGTGGTGGGACTGGGTCGACAAGCTTACGAACAGAATTTGGAACTTTGAGACGGGCGCAGTGGAAAGATGTTGAAATTTCGGGAAAAGCTTTGCACTCTCAAGTCTGATTCAGTACGAAAACGGAGTGCGAAGCTAGTAACAAAGGGCATCGCATGGCATCGCTACTAGGAGCTAAGCAGTTTCAGTTTAGCTTCTGTTCGCGAACCGGAAGGCCTGCTGTGGAGCAGTTGATTGGATACTTCGTGCCACTGCCTTACCTTCTCCATCGCTATTAGTAACAAGTGCCACGCTATTAGTAACAAGTGCCACGCTATTAGTAACAAGTGCCACGCTAGTAGTAACAAGTGCCTTACTAGTAGTAACAAGAAGCTGGTAGTAACCTCACGTTCCGCCATCCCAGGAACGCAGTGATATTCCGAGTCAGCCTGCAAAAGGCTTCGTTTGAGGAGCTGCAGATTTTGGAGTTCTTGGATTCTTTTTTTTTAATGGCAGGCCAGCAGGCAGGAAGAGGAAGCAACAGGAAAGGGGAGGAGGAGAATGAAGGTCAGGCTTTTGTGATGTAGGTCTCCTTGATCAGTGTCGTTTTGTTCTCGGTCTTGTGCAGCGTTTGGGTGGTAGAGCTAGAGCAAGAGGAAAGAGCCCGAACAGCACCAACATGTCAACTTGTTCGTTTCTCCTCCTCTTTTTATCCTTCTTCGTTGTCTTCTTCTCTTTCTTTGGCTTCTGCTTGTGGCTCTTCGTTTTGCGCAGCGTTTGGTAATAAAGCTGGAGGAAAAGGAAGGAGCAAGAACAACGCCAAAAGTATCAAAATGTCAACTTCTTTGTTGTATATACTTTTTGTTTTGCTTCTCTCTGGAAATTGTTAAGTTGCTTGGGGACCGTCGTTCGTTGTTTCGGGGGAATTAGCGCAGAAGAAGTGTTTTTGACCCTTGCGGACCTCTGAAGAATTGGTTGTTCAGAACTAAGAGAGGGTATAAAAAAACACGTCTTGTTTTTGTTGCGTTGTTAGTGGCAACATACGAGACCCAAAGGACTATTTCATAGGTTTGTTTGTCTCGTGAGTGGTGAGTGAACGGCCATGGTAAAAGCTTTGTAGACGTTGTAAACCTTTGTAAGTTTGCTTGTATTTCAACAACTCTGTCAACTCTTTGCAAAAGTTGCAAACTTTGTACAAATTCTTAAGACATTGTGAAAGTTTTGTAAACTTTGTATAACTTTGTAAAAATAAAAAACTTTGTAAACGTTCTAAAAACTGTGTAAAACGTTGCTCCAACTTTGAAGAATAATTTGAAGAACTCCAAAACCTCGTAAAAGGTTTGTAAACCTTTTTACAAAGTTTGCGAATTTTACAACGTCTTAATAAAGTTTTACCAAGTTCTTACAAAGTTTTACAAGTTTAGAGGTTGACAAAGCTTACAAAGTTTGACAAAGTTTAAAAATGTTTTACAAAGTCTACAAAGTGTTGACAAAGTTTACCAAGTTTATACCAAGTTCACTACGTTTTTACAAAGCTTTCAAAGTTGGTACAAAGTTTACAAAGTTTTACACAGATTTTATGAAGTTTGCAAAGTTTTACAACCGTTTACCAAGTTTACAAAGTTTTACAAAGTTTACAATATTTTAACACAGTTTACAAAGTTTTGAACAATTTCCAAAGTTTACCCAGTTTACAAAGGTTTTACCATTAAAACATCAATTAAAGACGTATTGAAAGTTTTACAATGTTGCTGCAATGTTGACAAAGTTTTTACAAAGTTTACACAGTTTTGCAAAGTATTGAAAGTTTACAAAGCTTGTGCAAAGTTTATAAAATTTTTACAAAGATTGCAAATTTTACAATTTTAGATGGAGTTTTTACAAAGTGTACAAACATTTGCAAACTTTACACAGTATTTACATAGTTTACAAAGCTTTCACAAAATTTGCAAAGTTTATACAGTTTACACAGTTTTTGCACAGTATTGAAAGTTTACAACGATTTTACAAAGCTTTGGAATTTGACAAAGTTCTTGCAAAGTTCGGAATTTACACAGTTATTCAATTTTTACAGAGTCTACAAAGTCTCACAAAGTGTTTACAAAGTTTTCAAGTTTTTACAAAGTTTACAAAGTTGTACAAAGTTTTTACAAAGTTTACAACAGCTTTTTCAAGTTTACAAAGTTTTTACAAAGTTAAAAAGTTTTTACAAAGTTTACAAAGTTTTTACACAGTTTACAAGGTTTTTACAAAGTTTTTACAAAGTTTACAAAAGTTTTTCAAATTTGCAAAGTTTTTACAAAGTTTACAAATGGCTGGTGAAAAACACTTATGTTTACAACAAATGACATGAAAAACACTTCTTTTTAAGCAAAAAATCGTGCAAAAACACTTCTTTCACAGAACTTTACAAAGTTTTACAAAGTTTTTACAAAGTTTACATAGTTTACACAGTTTTTACAAAGTTTACAAAGTTTTTACAAAGTTTACAACGTTCTGACAAAGATTGCGACATTTGCCTTTTGTTACACAAATTTACAAAGTTTTTACAAAGTTTACAAAGTTTTGAAGATTTTGGAAAGTTCACAAAGATTTTGCCAAGTTTACGAAGTTTTGCAAAGTCTACAGAGTTTCGACAAAGTTTACAAAGTTTTGACCACGATTACAAAGTTTTGATAGTTTTTTATTTGCAAAGTTTACAAAGTTTCTTTCTACATTTTACGAAGTTTTTACAAAGTTTGTACAGTTTCACAATTTGTACAAAGTTTTTAGGAAATTTACAAAGTGCTCAAAGTTTACAAAGTTTCACAACGTTCACAAGGTCTTTCAAAATGTTTACAATGCTTTGACAAAGTTTACGAAGTTTAACAACGTTTTACAAAGTTTGCAAAGTGCTACGAAGTTTATAACGGTCTTTTTTTAAACAGAGTTTTACGAAGGCATACAGCATCTAAAAGTTGTTTACAAAGTTTACACAATGTTAGTACAAAGTGTACAAAGTTTGCAATGTTTACAAACTTTTTGACAAAGTTGACAAAGTTTTGACAAAGTTTACAAGTGTTTACAAAGTTTTGACAAAGTTTTCGCATTTTACAATTTTTTACACAAAGTTTTCGCAGTTTTTTACACAGTTTTACAAAGTGTACAAAGTGTTTACAAAGGTTTACGAAGTTTAAAGTGTTTCAGTATTTACAAAGTTTACAAAGTTCTTACAAAGTTTTGACACAGATTGAAAAAAACACGAAACTTTGTAGAAAGTTTGTAAGCATCAAAAACTTTTGTAAAAGCTTTGTAAAAACTTTCAAACTCAATAACTTGGTAACAACTTTGTAAAATTCCAAAACTTGTTCAAAGCTTGATAAATGTCCAAAGCTTTGTTCAGATATCTAAAGGTTCAATACTTTGTAAAAACTTCGTAGTTCCAAAGTTTTGTAAAATTCAATGTACTGTAAGTTTCCAAAACTTTGTGAAGTTTGTTATTTCTATGTTTAAACTTTGTAGACTTTGTTAAAGCTTTGCAATGCAAAAACTCGGTAAAACAATGTAATTCCCAAACTTTGTCAAATTTTTGTAAAGATCCAAAACTTTGTAAACACTTTGTAGGAAGTTTGTTTGAAGACCTGCGAAAGCTGTTCAAGAAGAGCTGATCTTTGGATCAGTGAGACTGCTTGCATTTTTTT